GGTCCCCGACCCCTAAAATCTAGAAAAAGGGGGCGTGGCGTCAGCCACGCCCCCGAAAAAAAAATTTTTACAAAGCTAATTTGAATTTTTAAAAATTTTTAAAAATTATCTTAATTATTTACAAAAATAAACAAGTCACTTGCACATTTTTATAACCCACATAGGTAACTTTCAAAAATTTCGCGACCCATTCTCGGGGGGGGGGGCGCGCCCCCCCCCCCCGCCCCCCCCCCGGTAAGCCACTGCCTGTAGGCGATATGCGGAGCACTGTTTATTTACAAAAAGTAGTTTGTAGGCGACATTAATCATTCTATAATCTTGAGCGATTGGAAGGGGTAGAGGATTGCCCAAATCATCGGTCTATGAGCGTCCCTGAGGCACATCATTCCTACAATTATTGGTCCGTAGGCGGCGCAGCAGCTCCTTTTCAATATATTATTTGTATGTAGTTTAATATATATTTTTGTAAGGGCTTACAGTTTCCTCTCCAATGGTTCGTAGAGTATTTGTAAAGAGGGCGGTTCGAATTGAAAACCCCGGTCTTGAAGCGGCTCCTAAGGTCTTCTCAGAATATTGGCTTGAGTGTTAGGGCAGTTATTCCTCAAAATTTCGGTTAAAAGCGGCCCATAGGGCTTTTTTTGAAATATTGGTGTGTAAGAAGTTCGGAGTGTAGTTGAATTATCGGCCTATGAACCCATATAGCATTCCTTTCTCTCAGGATATCGGTTTGTAAGCGGACGGCGTCAATTTCATCCCGGAATATAGGTTTGTAGGGGCTCGAAGGGCGCTTCTTCCCGAATTCTTTGTAGGAGGCTCCCATAGGAAAGTTTGTTCTTCAAAATTGGTTTGTAGGGGTTTACGGGGTAGTTCTCCTTGAAATTATCGATCTGATGAGCGACCCATTTTTTATTCAAAAAATTGCAATAAATTTCGGCCTGTAAGCGGCTCTTATGGCTATGCCTCTTGAATATGAAAGGATCTTAGGGCAGTTCTTGATATTGCTCTGTAGGTTCGTTGGCAGTTCTTTTTCAAGATGGTCTGCAGGCGGCACGTAGGGCATAAAATCTTAATAAGTGTGATAGGTAAGCCGCCCCCTTGGGCACCTCTTCTCAAAATATTGGGTTCTGAAGGCTTACAGTTCATTTCTTTTCATAATTATTGGTCTGCAGCCCCCAAGCAGTGTTTCTTGCAAACTATGTGTGAGTGGCCTGCAGAGAGCCTTTGTGAATAACACTTTGTTGGAAGAGGAGGCGGGGGAGGGAGGCAATAGGGCAGTCCTTATATAGAATATCGGTCTATGAGCGACCCGCTGTGGTTCATAAGGACATCCTAAAAACGAACCACAGGGCAGTCCTTTTATATAATATCTGTTCGGAAGGTATGGTTTGTAGGATATTTGTACAGTACCTATATTCTTATGGACATAGGAAAGCTTTTATTTAGTTAAAAGTTTGTAATGTTGAGTGACTATTCTTTTGCACCCAGATGAATTTGCCTTACCAGCTGTAAGCGGCCCTTAGGGTCGCTAGTCCTATAACAATCCGAGTAGCAGTTATTCGCAAATTTTTTTTGCAAGGTGGTAACCTCAAACCTCTGCCTTCACATATCAAATATTCAATATATTCCGTCATCAGTATTTGGCAATTTTGCCTTTATATGGCTAGACTCTTGGAAATCCAGTTTTTTGATTTTGACTTTCTAGTTTCGTACTCAGCCTATAGCGTGTGCACAGATGACTGATTTGGTGGTTAAAATATACAACCTATGGCTAGATGGCGATTTACAACGGAGATTGTGATTTTGTTCGTGAGTTTATGCAGCCAAAAATATGTGAATTTCCAGGCATTTGTGCTGGAACATCGCTTAAATTTGACCATCTATGGTTGTACAAATTGTTGAAAATTCAGAATTTGTTATGTGGTTGTCAGTTGTGCATTTGACAGCCAATTTCAGTTCTTTTTTTCGGGGCATTATTTTTTCAAAAATTCGGTGAAAAAATCTGACTATTCCACTTTACTGCACAATTTCGTTGTCAAAACGAAAATCGAATTCAAACAAAGTTGGTCATTCGATATTCTTGCTTGATTCGCTCTTTCGAACGGCACCATAAATCCTCAAATAAATCAATCTGTGTTAATCTTTTACTCAACCTAATAAACCTTTGATGCTGTTCATCCAAACAATTGATAGCATGTTCAGCAAGTGCCCGAGGTTCAAATATAATTTTCTTTACCGGGTCATACGCTTTTATCAGCTTTGTCCATTGAGCAGTAGTGCCGTGTGCGTGACTGAATCAATACGACGTTTGTTTGTTGACTAGACTCGTGTTTACTACTAAAAAAATTGCAAGCCTCGCACTCACGTGGTTGCGCTTCATTTTTCCATTTCATTTTCTCTCCTGAGCTTTTTAAGGGACCGCGAATTGAAAATGTAGAATTTGGTTGAAAAAGTTCATTATTTTTGAAGTTCTATTTAACTGGTTAGGCACGTGCACGAACGAAAATCCTCGGCTAAATTTGCGCTACGCAGGACTGCTAAGAGTGGAATCTATCTTTTCGAGATTCTCATTTGCTTTTTCTGATCTTTATCCATGAAATAAACGATTTGCGTAAACGAGCGCTCTAATAAAGTTGTACGGATAGCGCGCAGGTAGTTGAAAGTTTCATATTTTTTTTGTGGCATTAGGATTTGGAAAAGTAAATATATTCCCATGTTAGCTTTAAACTCCACGTGAATCATTCTACTGGGTCACTCTGTTAAGACATCTCGACAGAATTTCGTTTTACAGTTTTTCGCTTTTTGGAGCCTTCTCGCCATGAGGATTTCCATCTGGGCTTCTCCACGCATAAAAATGGCGAAAAGAGCTTTTTCCGAAGCTTTCCGCTTCCGAAAAAGCTCATTTTCGCCATTTCCATGCGTTGAAAAGCCCAGAATTGGAATCCTCACGGCGAGATGGCTTCAAAAAAAGTGATTAACTGAAAAACGAAATTTGCCGAGACACTGTCTTTGAATACAGAATAGAAAGAATAGTTTGTTCAGGTGTAAACAAATACAATAAACAGTCCAATACATAAAAAAATTCTTCTTTTAGTCTTCTTAGCACATCTACCTCTTACTCCTTCATGGCTTCTTTTTTTCTCTCGTGAATACTTCTTCCAACAGAATTCACCATTGAAACGGTACCCTTTGATTCAACTGGCTTGGCGGCTCGAAGGAGGGGCTTCGTGACGTATTAAGACTAGATAATGATTAGAGAGCCGTGCGATAGAGACGTCGACTGGGTCGCGGGTGTGAGCGGCTTTAATTAGGTCACAAAGCCCGCCTTCCAGGCGCCAAGCCAGTTAAATCAAAGGCTACTCATCACGCAATCATCTGTATTGTCAAATACAGCCATCATTGCCTATCAAAAAAAGTTCATACGAAAAAGCTCGTAAAAAATCTTATCTTATTACTCCCTCCCAACGTATGTTCGAAATTTTTCCAGTGTTTTTCCTAACACAATGATCTCCACATTGATCTTGTTTGTTGCTTTCGCAGTTTGGTTGTTAAGAATGTGGACGAAGAGAAAAACTCTGCCGCCTGGTCAGTTTTCTAATGAAATCGTAACTTCCTATCATTTTCCCGTAATAAATGTTTTAAGGACCATTTCCTTTGCCACTTATTGGTAATATTCACGTACTCGCTTATGAAGTGCTTGTGCAGAAGAAAACGCTTGTAGATATTCTGAGCGAAAATAAGCAGGTATGTGAGGCGTAAAAACAATGAGTTGAGTTTTGCTACAACTTTTCACACCCTATCCTCATCTAAGCGGGTCCGAGGAGGTCAGGAAACTAAGATCGTGTACTAGCACGTATCGTTTGCAAAATTAAAATTTCTAAAATATTTGACCTTTGATTGCCTTAAACCTTTGATTCAACTTACTTGGCGGTTAAAAGATGGGGCTTTGTGACCTAATTAAGGCCGCTTGCTTCACGCAGTCTGCGTCTCTCCTGTGCGCGTGCTCTCTGATCATTACCTAGCCTTAATCCAGTCATGAAGCCCCGGCTTCCAGCCGCCAAGCCAGTTAAATCAAATGGCACGCTATCATTTTTAACGAAAGGTTTTTACACAATTCCATAATTATAGCTGAAAACGAGAATGCTCGAAGAGCATAATACTTTATCATAAAGACATAACCATAGCTAAGACCAAAGAGTAGAATCTCAGAAAGAAGAGATGAACCCTTCTCACCTAATTCAAATTATCCAAGATTGCGGGAAAGGAGACAATCACTTGCTTCATCTCAAATCGCCTTATTTTAACACTAACAAATACTCTCTTGGAAGTAGGAAAAAGGAGTGTTTAACGCAAGACCAGCATTTGTAATGTCAGTAAAAGGTTTTCTACAGATTCACTTCACTAGTAACATAAGATTTTTAGTCATTATTGTGAAAGACCATTTTTCCACACATTTGTCTTTCAAATAGAATATTTTCGGAACCAACATCCTCCTGAGATTGACGTTGCTGTCTACGCAAAAATTGCGTAACAATTTGAACCCATTCATATCTTGATTCCAGGTAAAGCAATGTTTTAGCTCTTCCTTTAGTCTCCAACTAAAGTACCCTTTGATTTAACTGGCCCGGCGGCTGGAAGGCGGGGCTTCGAGGCCTAATTAAGGCTGGGTAATGATCAGAGAGCACGCGCACAGGAGAGGCGCAGACGGCGTCGCGGGCGCCGGCCTTAATTAGGTCACAAAGCCCCATCTTTTAACCGCCAAGTAAGTTGAATCAAAGGCTACCTGAAGATTTCAAGATTCAGCTCCCTGCGTGGGCGCTTAGCTTTTTTCATGAGAACGACAAAAAGTATAGAAACTTGAACTTCTGAAAACAAATATGAACAAAGTTACGTTTTGTAACCGCTGATCGTTGTGTTTCGAGAAATATGGAGGAGTGCTCACACTGTGGTTAGGACCGATTGCTACTGTGCACTTATGCGATTATGATAGTACTGCAGAAGCAATGGTTAAGAATGGATCGTCTTTTATCAACAGGGACCTACCGTTCTTGTTCCAGTATTCTAGAGGTAGAAAGACGTTCCGCAGCTTGCAATCAGCTGATTTTCAAACTTAGGAGGAAGAGGACTTCTTGCATCTAGTGGTTTATTCTGGCAGGAACAGCGACGTTTTGTCCTACACACATTGAGGAATTTCGGTTTGGGGAAAAATATCATTGAAGAAAGAATTATGTTCGAGTTTGAATTCACGTAAGTTGTTTTGGCAGTTCAAAGTAATCGAATGACCAAGGCAGGGTTTTTGCACCAAAGAAATGGGGAATTCTACTCATGTTAGAAACAAGTTAACAGAAATCAGCTGTGGAGCAATTTCGTTTTGAACCACAAAAATTTGAACAGCTGTTTTTTTTATCTCCAACCTTGATGCTATAATATTAGGTTGGCACATAAGTTTTGCAGCGTTCCCCATAACTTTTTTCTTACTAGATGTAGCACTCTCATTTTCTGATACCGTGTAGAGTGTGAGCTGCAAGCCTGTGCAAACTTTTGATTGATGATAAGGTATTGGAAAAAAATTCAAGCATCTTTAGAAAATCCTTGCAAATCGAGGTCCCACGGTTTTTTGGCAAACATGAAGCCGTACAAAATCTGAATCAAACATATCAAATAGTCATAGGAAGCATGCAGCCAGAAGTTGACGCATTAGTATCAGTAGAAATCGCATGTGATTCAAAGACAAATTAAGATAAGGCGCCTTTGAAAAGTAGAACAAGTCAAATGCGTCAAGTTTTGAGGGAAATCTGTTAATAACTAAACTGGGAGGCTTCAGAATTTGCTAAATTCCTGCACAATAGGGTAACTGAGTACGATGAACATGAATATCATATTCATTTGCCGCTAAGATAACATTCTTTTGACCGTTTTAAAGGGTTTCATGGGAAACGGGTCTCATTTTTATGATCAGCATGTCGCATAACTCCCATAGGTCACGTTTCAACAAAATCTGATGCGTTCCGAAAATTTCCTATTATACCGTAAACCCACCGTAATCCTTACATAAGGTGGCAAAATTTGGCAATAATGTCTGCATTTGCAGTTTACATCATAATTCTTATATTGCCAGAAAATGAATGTACGTTCATAAAGACAAAAGTTATACAAAATGTTGCATTACTTACGTGCCAACTTAATATTATACTAAGCAGATAAGTTTAGTGTCTGAGTAGATATCACTGTTGATGATCCTACAACTTTAATCTTTGAAGATCACAACAACTTCTAAGTTGTAAGAAATTCTAATTGTAAGCAATTTCAGTAACTGTTACATATATTAGGTCATTTCAAAAGTTCGTTCGTCAATTTTTCAAAAAATCATAACTTCCTTCCTTTCTGGCGAAATTTTTTGAATAAACTTCTATTCAAAAGAAGAAACCTATCTCTTTACAAAAGTATCTTTGCCATGAAATGGCGTGAGAAAGTTCGAGAGTCAAAAGCAATTGAATAAATTTACTCAAGATTGGCGTATTTTAAGCTGGATCACGAAAAATTCCGGAAGTATTTTTATTTTATAGAGAAAATTATGCTCATTACAATGGTACCTTTCCCATGAGCTAGAACGAAAACGATTAAAAGTTATAAGCAAATAAAGAGAATTACTTCAGTTTTGCAATTTTTGACATGCCCAAAAAAGCCCAAAAACATCACAAAAAAGGCGAGAAGGCCAAGAACAGGGGTTTTGTGACCTTCTCTCTCTAGCTAAGGGATTTTTGTGCTAAGAGAGAGCAATTTTGATTTTCATGGAAACGTATAGCAAATTCTTTAAAAAAATCATTACTTTTCGTAGGAACAGTCGTTCAGCAAGAAAATTGCCTAGCTAGAAAGATGAGGACATAAAACATATGTTTATTTTTGTTTCGGTATTTTTTGTAAAGTTTCAAGACTTTGTGAGCTTTTTTGAAATTACCAAATTTTGAGTGGTCTTCTTTTTGCATTTTTAACTCTGCGACTTGTGCTTGGTAGAACGAATTTAAGCCACTGTCAGAAACTACATAATCCCTTTATTAGGAAAAATTATCCCAGGCAAATTTAAGCAGACAGCAGAGAGTTACGAATTTTTAAAGAACTATGCGAACGAACTTTTGAAATGACCTAATATATATGACACTCCTTTTTCCTTTGAAACCTCTCAGAGCATGAGAAATTATTCAAAAATATTTTCTTCGGGTGTAAGAAGGAATATTTCAATAATATCATTAAGGAAAAAATGTATTATGGTTTGTGATCTGATTTCTTTATACAGGTGCGAGGAGCTTGACAAGAAAATGACAAATGGTCAGCTATCGATTCAACCCAATCAGATGTTTGATCTTCTAATCGGTAACATAATCAACCGTTTGATATTCACGGACCGCTTTGAAAAAGTAGAAAGCTAAAGTCTTTTTTAACTATGCAGATATACTCTAAAACCCATTTAGGACCAAGAATCAACGTTTTTTCGCTTGAAAAACGATCTGGACAATATTTTTGATAGATTCGAGCCTTGGGATGCTCTCATCAACCGCTGGACTATGAACATCCCATTCTTTCGCCGAAGGGCGGAGGCTCTGTTGCAGCCTCAAAACGACATTTTGAGCTTTTTACATGGGCAAGTCAGAAAGAGGTTGGATTGTGCTTTATTAGCCAGCATTTACAAGATTAGGGGATTTTATACATTTTGAAGTCTTCTTCCAGGCAAGAATCTATAGCAAATGGTCATCACGTTCTTGAAGGAGAGGGAGACGATTTTGTGGATGCGTTTCTCATTCAAATGGAAAGAGAGGCAAAATCAGAAGAGGGCAGTATTTTCAAGTAGGATTTCCCCTTTTCTCCGTTCTCTTTTCTTCCTTATTCTTTTTTTCTTTTTTTTCTCGATTTTATTTGCTTCGACGTCTACTTTTCGAATTTTTCTTCTGGTTTTCATCAGTGTGTGGCTCTGATACTCTATAAAAGGTTTTAGATTTTTTACATGAGTTTTTACTGTAAATAATGATGATACAAATTTGCGAGAATTTCACGAAGCACAAAATTTCTTCTGAGGATAGGGTCAGACAGCATACCCATCTAAAGAGTTTTCATCGTTTTCTCCCTTAGAAAATTTTTTGCAATTATAACTAAAAGAAAATTTTTCATACAACCGATCTCTCTGCTTGCAGTAGAGAAAACCTGGACCATGTTTTACTGGATCTGTGGGCCACTGGTCAAGAGACAACTGCCACTACTCTAATTTGGGCATTCGTCTACCTTCTTTTGCATGATGAGGTAGTCGCTTAAATAATGGGGTGTTAGCATCTATAATTTTTTTTATTATTTAGGTCAAAACCCGTGCGACAAATGAGCTCCGTCAAGTTACCAAAGGAAGCCGTACGTTATCGCTAGCTGACAAAAATAATACGCCATACTACAACGCAGTGCTGACGGTTTGTGGATTTCTGTAATTTCTGAATTCTAATGGCAATTGCTTGAATTCAGGAGATTCATCGGTGTGCGGCAATATTTCCTACGAACTTACCTAGAAGAGCAGACGATAATGTCAGCGTAGGAGGATGTGTTATTCCAAAAGGCACTTCTGTTTCAGCTCAGGTCTCGTTGACCATGTCTGATGATAGGCACTTCAAGAACAGTGACCAGGTATGTGGTCGCAAAACTTGATGTCAAAATTTAGTCGGACCTTTTTTTTAATTATATCAAGGTGTAGAACGTCATTTGCGAAGGTCCAAAAAGGCGTATAATATTTTGTGAAAAAAGATTAGATTGAAGGTTATTAAGAAGAGTGTATGAGGCAATCTAAACAGGGATGAAGCAATATAGATGATTAATCGAGCATTAACGTTTGTGAGGACACAGTAACCACTGTTTCGATAGTTTTGTTATGCTTACCCATCGAAGATGACTTTTTCTTGAAAATGGGAACTTATGCATAGCTACAATTTGTACTTTACATACTAATAGCATTTTTTTCCTAGACAGGCTACGAAAATTTGTATTTGGAACTTTGATGTAGCAGTCTCTATGCGCCGCAAAACATTCTGTTTTGTCCTTAAGAAATTCTGATGATTTGTGCAAGTATTACTGCAAGACTAGAGCTACACTGAATTGTCTTCAGGTTTTTCGGTGTAGATGTGCTTCAGCAGTTGGATAAACAAATGCCACAATCGCTAAATTGAGAAAAAGGGATTATAATGCAGGATTACTCATAATGTCAGAGTACACTAAAATCTAGTGTTAATTTGTTGAGGTATACAAGGTTATAATGTAAGCGAGCTTCACGGAGGGAACTAGATATGCAACTTACTTCTATTTTTTATCTCGTACCTTTGATCTTTTCTCAATGCAGTGGTCCCGCTCCTTTGTGAATATGTGCAACTGGTAAGAATGAAAAATCTATTAACATCTACTTTTTCAGTTCAATCCCGACCGATTTTTGAATGCGGACAAATTGGAACAGCAAGTCATTCCTTTTGGTATGGGCAGAAGAGCATGTCTTGGCGAATCACTTGCAAGAGCTGAGTTATACCTGGTTAGTTTTACACAACTCAAATATACCCTCGACGTCAATCCCTAAGTTACAATTGCAAAGTGAAGTGGTGGGGTGCAGCCGCCTCGCTTTGCGCTCGCGCCACGTTGCTGGGGCATCGTTTGGACGTGATGTGGCGCTAAAAACAACGTGGCGCCACAACATGTTCAAACGTGGCAACAAGGACAACGTTTCTTCGTTGCTCCTGTTGCCACGCCATGCCAACTCATGCGCTCGCAAGGTGGCGCGAGCCCAAAGCGAGGCGGCCGCACCACAACACTCCACTTTGCAAAATGTAACTTAGGGATTGACGTCGAGGGTACTATACTCGCTTATTTGTAAAACAGCCAAACTAAGCTCTCTTGCAGATCATAGGGAACTTTCTTCTGCGTTACTCTATAACAAGTGATCCTGAACATCTGCCATCTATGTCACCAAAACTTCCTATCGGTATCGTTAAAAAATCTCTCCCTTATCACATTGTCTTTGAGCAAAATAAAATTTCTACGGTTTCATAGATTACGATTTGTAGAATTTACTAAAATTGCTCACTAACCTTTTCTAGTCCTGCACATACTAAAAATGAGTTCTAAATGACTTACAACTGTCCAATTGTCTGTTGGGAATCAGCCAGCTATTCGCTCATATCTACACTCCCGATATTCTTTCTACATTCTTTTAACGCTTAGAACGCCGCATATATCGTCGAGTCATTCGTAACTTAATCTGCGTCCTGCACACTAAACACGCTAACTGACGAGCATCAAAACTGTACCTGCTCATTTCCAGTGATTTCTGCTTGTTTCCTTGTCTCTTTTTTTTGATTACATGTTAGTCTATAGAACATTTCTACACTTTTAGGCTATAAAATGTTTCACTGAACAGTTACCAATAAAGGTGCCGTCGTTGATAGGGCTTAGTGTGCAGTCTCACATATTAAATTACAAATGACTTGAGATTATATCTGTGTTAAACTATTTTATCTGTGTATTTTCTCTGTACATAGTGCATGATTTATGTGTTAACTTCGGAACCATATATATGAGTTTGATGTAAAGTTTACCATATACTCGTACACTACACCTGTCACCGTAAAAATTGACTGTCGATTGTTTTAACTTTCTATCTCGATTTTTGAGATACGAAATATTTTCTGTGGAACTATCAGCAACTTGGAACTGATTTATTCTCAACACCAAATAACCGCTTTTGTGAGTGAAAGACTGAAAGACTCACCAATACGCCATGTGATAGAAAGAACTCGACTTCTTGCATAAGTCAAGCCCGGTGCCCGGTGTAAGTCCTACAAGGTCATGGTGTGTTCTGATCTACACCATTCTGTAATTACTTTTGAGTTTTTTCCACAGGCAGCACCTCAAAAAACCTCGGTCTGAAGATTTGGCGTTTGCTGGAACAAACATTTTGTTTCGCTGATTCTGAAAATCTAGCTTGAAGAGGCAAAAATGTCAAAAACGGGCTTTCTCGTAACAGTAGCCTGTTAAATTTGTGTTATGAACAGAGCCTGTCAGTTGGAGAGGCATTGTCGCTGTGGAACGCTATGGTCATAAATTTGAGCGATATGCCCACTTTAGCATGCAATTTTGGATGAGTTGGTCTTGGAATGGGGGCCACTTCGCAACACTTTTGAACTAATTCTAGTTGCTTAATTGGAGTGAGGGTACAGCCTTTTTCAATAACATGCTTCCTTTTTTTGTAAACGCAATCGCCACGCCAAAGCTTCGCGCCACGTTCCGTTCGCGCGCGTATGGCTTGGGCTACAGAAATGGCTTTTCCTAGAGTTCGCTTGTAATTGCTTGCTCAAGCACTTCCAAACATAGGAAAACTTTGAATTTTCAGGATATATATCTTACATGGGGGGACGAGTGGCGTAGTGGTATGAGGCGCCGCTATGACCAGATCGGACACAGGCTCGATCCCGCCCCTGGGCCAACCAAGCCCTCTACACTCCGGGGACCGGTAAATTGGTACCAGAGTAATCTGGGAGGATAAAAGCACTGACTTGAAAACGGCTGGCCCCCTCAAGTTACTGTAATAGGCTCGCACGCATACAATTGCCTCTTCGACTATGAAGTTAGTGTGTGCGTTCGGCGCATGCCCTCAGAGGGTATTGAAGACACCGAATCCATTACCCTTATCCTTTAGAAGCTCTTACTTTTGCGAAGACGTGAAATATACAATCGCTTTAAACACTGACATATCTTCGGAATTTGAGGTTTCCAAAACAATTTATCAATTAACGCTGATTTTAGCAAGCAACAAAGCGTTCAGCGGTTCGAAATTTTGGATTCTAATTTTTTGGTTACGGCATGGGACGAGTCTGGAAACAATGATTACAATATCCCACGTTCGACTATTTCTGAATCTTGGCATAGTGTCCAATTACGATATCTGATGTTAAGCTTTCCAAGATTGATAGTTACTTCCTTTATTGCCAGTAACAGTTAACAATTAGTACGGTCTACGTTTCGGCGAAGATCGCCTTCTTCAAGACCTTCGACAACACTGTGTAGGGTACGCCCACCACTCTGACAACGTGTCAGACCACTACTCGCCGTTTTGTGTGATGGAATGAACTCTTAAATAAAGGAAGGAACTATTAATGATTACAGTAGTTTTATCTTTAGTGTCAAACATATCAGGAAGAATATCATAATAAGAAGAAAAAGCTACATTGAATGACACCCTGGTTGCTTGTCGATTATTGTTCTGCCAGGACTGAGATGCCCAAATAAAGAATTGGCAGCAGCAGAAAAATATATTCAAAAATTTTGAGAAGCCTGCTAGAGATGTCAAAAAAGTGTAAGGTATTGCATTTTGTCTATTCTATCAGTGTTATCAAAGCTAGTCCAAAAGTTAAATGGAAATTTCAGAATAGCCAAACTCAATTTGGATGAAAATCATGGGTTGGAGATCCGCGCCGATTATGGAGCGAACATTAAGGAAATCTGAACAGAAGCATGACCGTTAGAAAGAGGAAGAAATTCTGAATCGGATAAACCACTTAGAATAATGATAGACAAAAGCTTACAGCGTTTGTCATCCTTATTCTAAGTGGTTTGAGCATGGTTCTGAAAAACGCCACGTGTAACGGGGGTGGTCTAGTGGTAAGTCCCGGTAGAACCTGATCGACGGAGAAACACGTGTTTGAGTATAAGAATTTATCCTTATAGCACAAAACCAACAACAACAAGAACACACGCTATATACATAACGGAGCATCAACCCGATTCGCCCTCTCAGCAGGACCTCTAGGCTATCTCTATCTAAGGGGAAGGTCCGCCTCTCTTCGACAGCTCCTCTTTTAAACTCCCTGGAGCGCTCCCTTCACGCTCTGACCGGTCCCCCCTACTCATCGGTATTTATACCCTGCTGAGAGGTCGAATCGGCCTCTCCTTTTCCGCCAGTAATGATTGGTAGAACGGTGATCGCGCCATCCAACACACGAACTTTCGGACCGACCTAATATTAACTTCGATATCAACCCTTTTTGAGAAAGGCGACCTAGTTATGCTGTACAGAAATATGTAGCCTTTCTTATAGTATGTTGATAGAGCCGAGCGAAGCCGGGTAGCTTGCACTTAATACAGCTTCTTGTTTCTAGGTTGTCCCAAAAGTAAACCGTATTTCTAAATAAATCAAACTGTTTCTGTTTTCCTGACAGGCTTGGGGTACCATTCGATAGAGCGCAGCAAGCTCCACACAATGACTGCAAAAGATTCGTCTATGTCGTAATCCAGGTAAAGTTTGGAGCAAAAATCGAAAAAAATTTTATTACCTGAAAATTGGATTTTTGCGAAGAATAATCGTACAAAACTCAAACTTGGTCGTTATACAGTAGACACATAGTAGTACCCAAACGTGCCTTTACTGGACCTTTTCTGAGCTTAGAAAGCAAGAAAAATGAGATGATTTGAAAATGGCAAACTCCGCCCCAGTCCCTCCCACATATGTACTTGTATACCACAAGCCTTGCTAAGTATAATCTCAAAGCTTTAATTCTGTAGATGCTCTTATAATCGAGAAATACCAGGTTTTACACGAAAAACCCGAAAAAAGTGGCATTTGTTGCATTTTGGGACCATCTTTGTCTCTCAATTTTGAGCTCCAGAACAAATCAACCAAAAACATTTCTCGTGCGGCTAACAAAATAAATCTAGCGCCGCGGATGGTCAGTCCAAGAATTTAACACCCGCGCACAGCCGAAAGGTACTGTTAGGGGCCATCGAATATGCGCTATCGAATATGTATATTTTTGACGCTAAATCGAGATCCACCTAGCAGTGCAGACTTACCATCTTACCGTAGCCCGATATTCTCGCGGTATTTTCCATTTGCTAGGTGAGAAAAAACGAGTATAATTTCCCCTAAGAGAGACGATTCTGACAACGATATAAAACACACACATAATTGAATTCTTTGAAGGTTAGTTAATGGGGTGTGCACTACCCTTGAAAAGGTAAGCAACCACAGCTTTCTGGGGTTGTGCCAAATTCACCTACAAAGAGAATCTTAGCAAACAAAATATATACAGTTCGACCAGAGAAACTTGATTTTCATAGGAATGACTAGTTAGAGCTCAATTTGTCTTCTTTCGCTTGAGATAGTCTGGAAGCACAGCCACTGTCAGCGACAAATGGGGCAAATGAGGTTTTGGTTGGCTCCTAACTTCATTTAAAGCAGGATTCATGACATGGGCAAACACAAAAGTAGTGCTTTGTGTTAGGTGCAAAAAGAAGTAGCTAGTTAACTTTTGAAATGTACTTAACCATGTTTGAGGATGACAATTTACTTAGTGGCGCAATAATGGGAAAGCTTAGAATTTGCTAAAACTTGGCCCACCGGAGTTATTTGACATGACCATTATGAATATGTTACTATTAGGTTGTCAAGAAAATAATGTCCGTTTTTATTTGCTTGCTTAAACAAAGCAATCAGACTCAACCCAACAAAGTGTAAGGGGTACTGTTCGGTAGAGCAAAGCAAGCTCTACAAGATGGCACTCATGTCTTTGCGCCATGCTCGATCCACGGAGAGTTCGAACTCAAAGTCTAAAGATTTCCAAATGCCCAAAAAATCGAAAAAAAACTTCGTCCAAATAATTTCTACGGACTTCCTACTCGCTCACATCAATACTATCGATATCTGATATCCATATGTGCGATTGCCGTATTTTTTCCTTGACTAGAAACTGAGAAAACGAAAATTTCCCTGATTTTCTCAAAGCAATGCTGAGCCGTTCTTGCATATGTAGTTCTATACTACAAGCCTAGGTAAGCATAACTGTAGGTTTTCAGCCTATTTCGAGCGGTGCTTTTCGAGAAATGTCAATTTTAGCACTGAAACTGAAACGAAAAAATCCGAATTCGTTATTTTTCGAAAACTACCGCTTGGAATGGGCTGAAAATCTACAGTTATACTTACCTAGGCTTGTAGTATAGAACTACATATGCAAGAACGGCTCAGCATTGCTTTGAGAAAATCAGGGAAATTTTCGTTTTCTCAGTTTCTAGTCAAGGAAAAAATACGGCAATCGCACATATGGATATCAGATATCGATAGTATTGATGTGAGCGAGTGGGAGGTCCGTAGAAATTATTTGGACGAAGATCTGATTTTTTTTCGATTTTTTGGGCATTTGGAAACCTTTAGATTTTGAGTTCGAACTCTCCGTGGATCGAGCATGGCGCAAAGACATGAGTGCCCTCTTGTAGAGCTTGCTTTGCTCTATCGAACAGTACCCCTTACCCTTTGTTGGGTTGAGTCTGGTTGCTTTGTTGAAGCAAGCAAATAAAAACGGACATTATTTTTTTGACAACCTAATAATTATGCTTGGTAGACCTTATGTCTTGTCTACGGTAGGCAAACGATAGCGGTGGGTGGACGGTATTGAGACAGAACTTAGGGGGGGGGGGGGTGGGATGTATCCGGACCTCTTGCTCAACCCTGATCACAAAGTTAGTAACGAAACTAGCACTGCAAAAAGCACTCCTTATCTATTCTAAATCTGACTATTCAAGAATAGAAGAGAGAGCATCAGTTACATATTTAGAAAAGCTATACATGACCCAAAACAGACGTCCTAGCTACAGGATCAGCACCGGTTACAATTAAAAATTAGAAGTCAACCGAACTGAAAAACGAGCGAAACAAATGTAGCAAAGGTGGCTAGATAAAGAGTTGAGTCAAGAAGTCGGGTTGACCTGAAGTACTTCATTTGAATTCATTCCTTGAGGTTCACTCTTAAAATTACTATTATTGCGGGATAGACATTCGCGAGGTAGATTTTGGAGCAATTTTTCTATTCGGTGGAAAAAAGTATGACTCAGCAAGAAATCAAATCGTTTTCGCTTACCATTGGCACATCTTGTATACAGAAAAACAAGTGGCTCTTCCAGACTAGGCTTAAACCAGTATTTAGGAGGTCTCAACCTAATTTCACTTGAAAATCCTTGAAAAATCGTGAAATGGGTCAACGATATAAGAGCCTTTTATATCTAGTCTTTTCAAAGTTCTTCATATCTAGGAAGCAACTGTGGATAAGCAGGATTAGGAAAAGTACGATAGAACAGAAATCTTGTGAACAGTTTCTGAACACTTTCAAAATTGTTGGCATTGAATCATCGCAGGAGAGATACCCGAGACCTATAGCAAAAGGAGCCAATCATTAAGCCGCCATAATCAAAATGCTCTCAATCTCAACAAATTGCAATTGCGTCAGTGAGCTGCGCTTGTCTGTACACGGAAGTCAAGAACATCGAAATTTTGAACTAGCTCCGCAAAAAAATTTTTTTTGTGTTGACTATTTAGGATTACCATTGATTTCAAAACACCTCATGACGTTTGAAATGTTCGAACGATGCCCTGCGACTTTCAATAAATGAACTAAAATTTATGGATCTATCAGTAAAACATCTTGAGAAATATGGAGTATCTGCGTAAATATTCATAGAATGTGTAAAGAAAGATGTACTACCTCCAAAAGTTGCTTCGCAATGCTTCAGCTATGCACTAATGCCATCAATGCGGGTTCCGCGAAGTATTCTAATTTAGGAAATGAAATGTTGTGTAGGCAAAGACTTTGAATATTCGTTAATTTGTGGGTGCTCAGCTACCATGAAGAGAAGACAACACTACATTCAATACCTCTTAGACACATGCTTTGATTTTTCGGAAACATGATATTCACTCAGACGTGACTACAAGAAAAAACTATTAAATTATTCTCGTAGTTCGGTTATTGAGCTTACTCCTATAACAAATCTAGCAGCTATTTAGCTGAAATTTTTTTTGCAAGAGATAGCCTCAAGTCTCTACTATCACATATCTGATTTTTAATATATTCCGCCATCAGTACTTGGCAATTATGCCTTTATATGGCAAGACTTATAAATTCGGTTTTTTGATTTTGACTTTCTAGTTTCGTTCTCAGCCTATAGCGTGTGCACAAATCACTAATTTGTGGTTAAATATATACAACCTATGGCTAGATGGCGAACTCTTCAACGGAGATTGCGATCTTGTTCGTGAGTTTATGCAGCCAAAAATATGAGAATTTTCAGGCATTTGTGCGTAGAAGTCTGTTTATTGGCCAGATCGCTTAAATTTGACCATCTATGGTTGTACAAATTGTTGAAAATTTCAGAATCTGTTGTGTGGATGCCAGTTGTGCTTTTGATACCCAACTTCATTTCGTTTTTCGGAGCATGATTTTTCGAAAATTCGACGAAAAAATCCGGCTGTTGCACTTTCCTGCACAATTTCGTTGTCAAAATGATGTTTGGCGCTCAAACAAAGTTGTCATTCGATACTCCTTGCTTGATTCGCTCTTTCCAATTTTACAAATATGTCCTTATAAAAATCAATTTGTTAAAATTTTACCAATATATCCTTATAAAAATCAATTGTGAAATTTCTACAAACCGGTAAACATGACCAAACTTATTTTCTAGCCAACATAATATTTGGTGCCGTTTATCCGAGCCATTAATAACATACTTAGCAAATTCCCGAAGTTCAAGTATAATTTTCTTTACTGGGTCACACAATTTTATCAGCTTTGTCCATTGGGTAATAGTGCCGTACGCGTGACTGAATCAATACGACGTTTGTTTGTTGACTAGACTCGTGTTTACTACTAAAAAAATGCAAGCCTCGCACCCACGTGATTCCCCTCTTCATTTTTCCATTCCGTTTTCTCTCTTGTGTTTCTTAAGCTTTCTAAGGGACCGCGAATTCTTGCAAATGTAGATTTCTTTTGAAGGTCATTGTACCTTTCTAACTAAATTCTATTTAACTGGTTAGGCACGTGCACGAACGAAGATTCTCGGCTATAATTTGCGCTGCCCGAAACCGCTAGGAGTGGAGTTTATCTTTTCAAGCCTCTCATTTGCTTTTTTCAATCTTTATCCATACAAGCAAGGAAGTATGTAAACGAGCGCTCTAATAAATTTGTATACAAAGCTAAGTAGTTAAAAGTTCAAATTAGGCTTTGGAAAAGTTATATATATATGCCCATGTTAGCTTTAAACTCCATACTGGGTCACCCTGTTAAGACATCGCGGCAGAATTTCGTCTTCCTGTTTTTCACTTTTTTGGAGCATTCTCGCCATGAGAATTTCCATTTCTGGGCTTTTCAGCGCATGAAAATGGCGAAAAGAGCTTTCTCCGAACTTTCCACGTCCGCATAATGAAGTCTTCCTCCCCGCCTCCTCAGGTCCCGCCCACTTACACGAGCCTTCATTAATGCGGACCTGGAAAGCTTTTGAAAAAGCTCATTTCCGCCATTTTCATGCTTTGAAAAGCCCAGTACTGAAATTCTCATGGCGAGATGGCTCCAAAAAAAGCGAAAAGCTGGAAAACGACATTTGTCGAGACAATGCCTTTGAATATAGAAAAGAAAGAATGGTTTCAGGTGTAAACAAATATAATAAACAGTCTAATACATATAAAATCCTTTTTTTAGTCTTCATAGCACATCTACCTCTTACATCCTTCATGGCTTCTTTTTTCTCACGTAAATACTTCTTTCAACAGAATTCACCATTGAAACGAAATGTACCCTGTGATTCAACTGGCTTGGCGGCTGGAAGGCGGGGCTTCGTGAGTCACGAAGCCCCGCCTTCCAGCCGCCAAGCCAGTTGAATCAAGGGTTACTCATCTCGGAATCATCTGTTGATTGTCAAATATGCAGCCTTCATTGCTGATCAAAAAAAATTAGTAGTAAAATGTTCGCGGTAAACCCTATCTTATCACTCCCTCCCACAATACTATTCGAAATTTTTCCAGTGTTTTTCCTAACACAATGATCTCCACATTGATCTTGTTTGTTGCTTTCGCAGTTTGGTTGCTAAGAATGTGGACAAAGAGGAAAACACTGCCGCCTGGTCAGTTTTCTAATGAAATCGTAACTTCCTATCATTTTCCCATAATAAATTTTTTAAGGACCATTTCCTTTGCCACTCATTGGTAATATTCACGTACTCGCTTATGAAGTTCTAGTACAGAAGAAAACACTTGTAGATATTCTGAGCGAAAATAAGCAGGTATGTGAGTCGGAAAGCTGTCAAGTCAGATTTGCTTCTAATTCAATTTGTGCAGCAGAGCCCCCTCTTCCATCTCTTTTTCTGCACTTCTCCGCTCCTGCTCTACCTTTATTAGTGGGATCTCAAAGGCCATGATAAAAAAAAATAGTTGCCCTTCTTTTTTTGCAAATCAAGTTTCTCGCACCAATGTTCTTGGTATAGTACGCTTTGATATCTCGAACAAAAAATTTCTTACATATTTCTGCAAAAATATTAGAATGCTATGTAGTGTTGATCTGCCTACCAGGTTTTTGTGTTGGATCCTCACTGTTGACCTTACGTTTCCTCAAATATCGTCCTCTTCGAAGGTCTGAAAGATACATTTTGATACACCATGTCCAGGTTCAAAGAAAAGACTACCGGAGGAAAAGATCAGGGGAAATTATCAAAATGCTGTTTCAAATAGCATATTTCTCTATCGGTAGCACCCGATCACCACAAAAATAACAGAATCAAGAAAGAACTTTACCAGTTTTCTACAATTTAAAAGATCGCTGGAAAGAAAAAATTGTCGGTTACGTCCCGAATTCATCTTATTTAAAAAAAAGCAAATAATTTCTTGGAGAATGCTGGAAGGGGTGGGAGAGAAAGCACATTTCGTTTCACCTTTCTCCTGAAAGTAAAAAGATTTTCCAGCAAGCTCAATCCCTTTATTTTCAATGGAGACATAAGAATTTTTCATACGAATAAAGAGAATCTTTTACACTTTTTTCATTCACATAAAATATTTCAAAACTAACCCCCTCCCTCTTTTAAGGTGACGCTGCGCTCCACATGCGATAATTTACCATTCTGGTCAGTGAGATAGAATTCACAGGGCAACTTTCTGCATTTTTGGAGTTCCCTTTTCTACCTGGCACGGCGGCTACTTTGATGAAGAGAAAGCTGCAACATAAAAAGCAATGTTTCCTGGTCACTTCTTTCAATCATTGCTCGATATTCAAGAAATATGGAGGTGTGCTCACACTCTGGCTTGGACCTATCGCCACCGTGCACTTGTGCGATTATGATAGTACTGTAGAAGCAATGGTTAAAAATGGATCGTCATTCATCAACAGGGCCCTGCCCTTCTTGTTCGAGTATTCCAGAGGTAGGTAGACGATCTTTAGTTAAGAATCATCTGATCTGAAGTTTTTTTTCCAGGAGGAAGAGGCCTGTTGGCGTCTAGTGGTTTATTCTGGCAGGAACAGCGACGTTTTGCCTTACATACGCTGAGAAATTTTGGTTTGGGGAGAAATATCATTGGAGAAAGAATAATGTACGAATTCGAAATTACGTGAGTTGAAAGTATGGGGTTTCATGCAGTACAGATGGCCAATGATGTTTTTAGAGCACAATAAATTACGATAAAACGAATTTTCATGGCATAGGGCATTCGAAAAATCGTGACAATGACGCGACGCGCGCGACACGCACGCACTTTCATTCCTTGTTTCTATTTCTACTCGGATGGTTTTTCTGCTTACGTATGATAGTACTCAGACACTGAAAGTAACTGAGCTGGGCATGAGTTGATGCCTGTTTGTATGGGTGTTATGTGTCCTTGTATGCGCAAAGACCGCAGTCAAACTCGTCGTCACGATTTTAAGAATGAATCATACTAGTTAGACTAATAAATGGAAATCATCTGTAGAGCAGACAAAAAAATGAATTTTAGCCTCTAACCGCAAACTCCACAGCTAATCTCTAATAGCTTTGATGAAGCTATAAGTAATTTTCGACTCGAGTGGAGTGGCGGCTGGAGGGGGGGGGGCTTCGTGGCTTGATTGAGGCCGCTCGCGCCCGCGACGTAGTCTGCGTCTCTCTCGCGCGCGTGCTTTCTTCATTCTCTAGCCTTGACTAGGTCACGAAGCCCGGCCTTCCAGCCGCCAATCTAGTTGAAGCAAAGGGTAGCATTCGAGCTGACTTAGATGACAAGAAAATTATGTTCTATGTCTGAACTGAAATTTTGTTGATGCAAATATGTAGAGGCGCTTGAAATTATTATTTAAAAAAAAACTCAATATGGTGTGAGGCCTTCTCATATTGTATATTTTGGACTACACTTGGTTTCCATATCTAGGTGCGAAGAGCTGGAGAAGCAAATGAACAACGGTCAGCTGTCCATTCAACCCAACCAGATGTTTGATCTTCTGATCGGTAACATCATTAACAGACTGTTGTTTACGGATCGCTTTGAGAAAGTGAGGAGCTTAATTGTATTTCCTTAGATACCATGTACATTTAGGATCAAGAATCAACGTTTTTTCGCTTGAAAAACGATCTGGACAATATTTTCGATAGATTCGAGCCATGGGATGCGCTTATCAATCGTTGGACTATGAACATCCCATTCTTTCGCCGAAGAGCAGAGGCCCTACTGCAGCCACAAAACGATCTTCTGAGCTTTTTACATGAGCAAGTCAAAAAGAGGTTGAGATGTTTATTACGGAAAGATTTAAAGGATTTTATGGTGAATTTTGAAGTCTTCTTTCAGGCAAGAAGCCGTAGCTGATGGCCGTCATGTTTTTGAAGGAGAGGGAGACGATTTTGTGGATGCATTTTTGATCCAGATGGAAAAAGAAGCAAAATCGGAAGAGGGTAGTAGTTTTAAGTAAGATCATCTCTTTCTTCTGTTTTGCTTTCTTTCTTTCTCTTTTTTTCTTTTTTCGATTTTCTTTTGTTTTGAGTTAACTTTTCTAATTTTTTTCAAACTCTCATCAGTGGTTGGATACGTTATAAAAGTGTTTAGATTTCTTACATGAGTTTTCGCTTTCAAAAATTAATGATGCAAATTTGCGAGAATTTCGTAAAGCATAGAATTTTTCTGGATAGGTTTGAACAACAAACTTACCTAAAGAATCCTCATTGTTTCTCCCTTTGAGAAAATTTTTTGCAATCGTAGCTGAAGGAAAAATTTTTCTTTACATTCAATCTCTCTGCTTGCAGTAGAGAAAATTTGGATCATGTTTTACTGGATCTGTGGGCCGCTGGTCAGGAGACAACTGCTACCACTCTAATCTGGGCATTCGTCTACCTTCTTTTGCATGATGAGGTAGTCGCTTAAACAATGGGGTTTTAGCATCTATAATTATTATTTAGGTCAAAACTTGTGCGACGGACGAACTTCGTCAAGTAACCAAAGGAAGCCGTACGTTATCGCTTGCTGACAAAAATAATACACCATACTACAACGCAGTGCTGACGGTTTGTGGATTTCTGTATTTTCTGAATTCTAATGGCAATTGCTTGAATTCAGGAGATTCACCGGTGTGCGGCAATATTTCCTACAAACTTAGCCAGAAGAGCAGACGATAACGTTAGCGTAGGAGGTTATGTTATTCCAAAAGGCACTTCTGTCTCAGCTCAAGTTTCACTGACCATGTCTTACGAGAGATACTTCAAAGATAGTAGGAAGGTAAATGTGGCTGCAAAATTTGTTATCAGAAGTTAGCCGAGGCCTTTTTCTTTGATTAGTACTAAGGTAATTAGTACGTAGAACGTCATTTTCGCAAGTCCAAAACGGCACAACGTTTTGTAAGAAAGGGGATAGACTGTAGGTCTAAAACAGAGTATAAAGTGCAGTCTAAACAGGGATCTCCTTACAAACTCAGACTATCTGTTTTGGGATTACGTAGCCTAAAATACAGGCGGGTGTGCAGTGATCTTATTTTTGGCTTTCGCATACTCCGTCTAGAGACTAGATTAACATCGAGCAAATACTGGGTCTTCAGACCTTCTGGAGATCGCAATAGAGGCTTTTCTACGACTTACCGTAGATTAGGAACTAAAATCCTCTCCACCGCTTTCAATTCATTTGTATACCGTACGGCACGGTGGCTGAGTCTTCTACCAATAGATTTGATTTCTTGTACAAATTCTGCTGAATTTCGCAAAAAGTTGAGAATAGACGTTTTACAAATTATCAAGTTTGTCGATGTTTGATAGCGGTTACATCTTCTCTATTTTCTGACGTCGCAGCAAGCCGTTTGAGGATACCAAAGTTTGGTGAGCTCCCTGCCTTGAGGTCCCCGTGCCCGTTCGCCCGGTGTCCCTGACGGATTCGTCCGTCCTAGGTTAAGTTGGTCAGCCATGCCCCGGTAAGTATTACAAGCCAATCGCGTCCGGAAATGGGAAAAGGATCTCGGCGGGGCCCCCCTCAACTTCAATGGATGGAGACCTGGTCCGACCTGGTCAGCCCAGCAAGGATATGTGATCGAAAATTCATTCATTGGTTATTGTTCTTTTAATCAATTTTTGGCGCACTTGTGTGTATTTAAATAAATAAATAAATAAATAAATAAAGCGGTATAGATGAGTAGTCGACAGGGCTCGGCACGAGCTGGCACCAGGGAAATTTCAAAACGAGCCCCTTTGATTCTGGAAGTTTCGTACGATGTCCCTCTTGAATAGTTTTGCATTTGCGTGATTGAAGCAGGTTTTTCAAATGCGGAGCAGAGATTTCGAATGGCTATGAGACGCCGAGAAATCATTACGAAATCGTTTTTCTCTGTATGTAACATTTTACAATGTAGATACAATCTATACAAAAAAGTATGAAAACTTGTATGAGCAAAAGATCGATGCTAGCTCAGCTGGCACCCAGCTAGTACGGTGCCAGATAATTCAGAAAAAAGTTCAGCACAACTTTCATTCGCATAAGTTTTCATAAATTTCTGCGCCATAGTTCTGAACCCCATGACGCATTCACACATCAAATCTGGCGTCATATGACTGCGTTATTTATGAACGTTTGTTTGTTTGGAGCAGAATCCAAACCCCGGCACTGTGTCAGCACCGGCACTTCGGCGGCATACCGACGGGCCATTGCATGCGAGTGGCATATTGGCGACATGCTAATGGGCCAGAGGTATAGAAACCAAGCATGCCGCCAGCATGGTGTCGTGGCCCTGGCATTCTAGCAAACAGCGGCTTCTAAGTCGTAAAAACGATATCCCTTTGCTTTGTCCCCAAAACACGATACCCAGCTTGAAGCGGTGCCCAGCTGTGTCGGGCCATGGTAGTCGAGTATGAATGTTTCTGAGGACACGGTAATCACTTTCTCGATAGCATTGTTATGCTTACTTAACAAAGATGACTTTTCCTTGTAAATAAGAACTTTATGCATAGCTACAATTTGTACGTTACGTACTAATGGCATTTTTTCCCTAGACAGGCTACAAGAATTTGTACTTGAAACTTTGATGTAGCAGTCTCTATGCGCCGCAAAACATTCTGTTTTGTCCTTAAGAAATTCTGATGATTTGTGCAAGTATTATTGAAAGACTAGAGCTACACTGAATTGTCTTCAGGTTTTTCGGTGTAGATGTACTTCAGCAGTTGGATAAACAAATGCCACAGTCGCTAAATTGAGAAAAGGGGATTATAATGCAGGATTACTCATAATGTCAGAGTACACTAAAATCTAGTGTTGATTTGTTGAGTATACAAGGTTATGATGTAAGCGAGCTTCACGGAGGGGACTAGATGCAATTTACTTCCATTTTCCATTTTCCATTGTTCTTTTCTCAAAGCAATGGCCTCGCTCCTTTGTGAGTATGTACAACTGGTAATTGAATGAAACATCTATTGACATCTACTTTTTCAGTTCAATCCCGACCGATTTTTAAATGCGGACAAGTTGGAACAGCAAGTTATCCCGTTTGGTATGGGCAGAAGAGCGTGTCTTGGCGAATCACTTGCAAGAGCTGAGTTATACCTGGTTAGTTTTAAAGCTCAATACTATAATTGGGTGATTGTGCAAAAGCTAACTATAAGCTCCTTGCAGATCATAGGAAACTTTCTTCTGCGTTACTCTATAACAAGTGATCCTGAACATCTGCCATCTATGTCACCAAAACTTCCTATCGGTATCGTTAAAAAATCTCTTCCTTATCACATTGTCTTTGAGCAAAATAAAATTTCTACGATTTCATAGATTACGATCACAGTAGAACTTACAAAAATCCCCTTTAACCTTTTCTAGTCCTGCCAATACTAACAATGAGTTCTAAATGACTTACATGAGTCATAAAGCGCGGTTCATAATTATACGAACACCCAAAATTTTGTAAGTTTTCGGACTTTTTGGGAGAAACTCAAAAAGCCGTTGGTACCACGCGATAAAACACAGCCGAAAACGGTATATGATTTATAAGAATGGAAATCGATGTCAATTGTAGGAGTGTTTTGGCGGCTAATGCGAATCTTTAGCGGTTCGTAATTATACGAACACCTCAAACAAGGGTCCATTTTTCATTCAAGATTGCAATCGTTTGAGTCCAAATTCTTTGAAGAGTTATAGTAACAAAGTCTGACATATCTGCTACGCATGAACCCAGTGCAGTTCAAAACGAGGACCGTTACTTTTTTCAGAAGGCTCTAAATGCTTTTGAAAGTGATTGAGCTCCAGAAACATCCGTTCTTCTGTGGTTTCCACGCTCTAATTAGCTTCTACCAAAGCTATGAGATGGAATAAGCTCTTGTGATGGGTATTTTGTTTGATGCTTGGAAAATCTTTGCGTTTTCGTGCCGTTTTTCAATCAAATTCCAACCTTAGCACAGAGTTAGCACGATTTCGAGCCTCAAAACTCGGCTTCTCTCTCGCGCAAACGTTTGATATGAAGCAGCTGCATTGCTTGCATGATGATATTTCTGTGCCAAAGTTTTTAGGTTTTTTCTAAAACTGATCTTGCGGCTGTGGAGCTACAAACCAAATAATGGTGTGATTGCAATAGTAAAAACAGTATTTTTGGTGAAATAACGTCTGCGTACCAAAACAAACGCTCAACGCTGCTGACTTTTTCTAGCCAAATATAAAGTCTTGTAAACTTCTACATACTACATGCTTACTTCATTGCATGGCTTCAGAAGCTGAGTTTTGATGTTTGAAATCGTGCTAACTCTGTGGTAGGTTGGAACTTGATTGAGAAACGGCACGAAAACGCAAGGGTTTTCCAAACGTCAAACAAAATACCTATCGCAAGAGCTTATTTCATCTCATAGCTTTGGTAGAAGCTAATTGGAGCGCGTAAACCACAGAAGAACGGATGTTTTTGGAGCGCAATCACTCCAAAAGCATTTAGCCCCTTTTTAAAGAAAGTAACGATCCTCTTTTTGAACTGCACTGGGTTTAGTATATAGCAGATATGTCAGACTTTGTTACTGTAGCTCTACAAAAAATTTGGACTCAAATGATTGCAATCTTGAATGAAAAATGGACCTTTGTTTAAGGTGTTCGTATAATTATGAACCGCTAAAGATTCGCACTAGCCGCCAAAACACTCCTACAGTTGACATCGATTTCCATTTATATGGATCATATACCGTTTTCGGCTATGTTCTATCGCGTGGTACCAACGGCTTTTTGAGTTTCTCCCAAATAGTCCATAAACTTACAAAATTTTGGGTGTTCGTATAATTATGAACCGCACTTTATTGTCTGTTGAGAATTAGAGCTAGTCACTTACACTTTCAATATTCTTTGTACATTCTTTTTAGAGCTTAGGATAATATATCTGTGTGAGATATACCATTACATCCGTATATCCTCTCTGTACACAATGTTGATGATTGATTTGTTAAAATTCGGAACCATAAATATGAGTTTGATTTGGTGGATACCAAGTGATTAGGGGTAGACGAGGTTGTGGAATATAGTTTATTCGCACTGGCGTAGATTAGTCATGAAGAAGAGTGAGGTGTCCCGGTATGGACCGGGGAGCAACTTCTAATACACTCGGAGGCTCCTTATATAGGAAGGAAGGCGGAGCTGAACCGAGTAAAAGGTACAATGTACACGAGTTGGTGCTTGAAAGGAGGTGCCGCCGATTGGCTATACTCCTGGCGCACGGGTACCACTCACTCTTGAGTGATTAGATATTCAAGAGTGAGTAGCTTACAATTTAGCCTACGGGTATTTCGTAGGCTATCTATTAGGTTGTCAACAAAATAATGTCGTTTTTTATTTGCTTGCTTTAACAAAGCAACCAGACTCAACCCAACAAAGGGTAATGGGTATTGTTCGATAGGGCAAAGCAAGCTCTACAAGATGGCGTTCATGATCTTGCGCCAAGCTCGATACACGGAATGTACGAACTCAAAATCTGAAGATATCCAAATGCCCAAAAATCGAAAAAAATCAGATCTTCGTCCAAATAATTTCCACGGACCTCCCACTCGCACACGTCAATACTTTCGATATGTGATATCCATATGTGCAGTTGCTGCATTTTTTCCTTGACTACAAACTAAGAACAAAAATTTTCGTGTTTTTCTAAAAGCAATGCTGAGCCGTTCTTGCATATATGATTCTACACTACAAGTTTAGATAAGTATAACTGTAGATTTTCAGGCCATTCCGAGCAGTAGTTTTCGAGAAATATCGAAATCAGCTTTCTTCTTTTCAGTTTCAGTGCTAAAAGCAACATTTCTCGAAAACTATCGCTCGAAATAGGCTGAAAATCTATAGTTATACTTACCTAAACTTGTAGTATAGAATCACATATGCAAGAACTGCTCAGCATTGCTTTTAGAAAAACACAAAAATTTTTGTTTTCTCAGTTTGTAGTCAAGGGAAAAATACAGCAACTGCACATATGGATATAATATATCAAAAGTATTGACGTGTGCGAGTGGGAGGTCCGTAGAAATTATTTGGACGAAGATCTGATTTTTTTCGATTTTTTAGGCATTTGGATATCTTCAGATTTTGAGTTCGAACATTCCGTGGATCGAGCTTGGCGCAAGATCGTGAACGCCATCTTGTAGAGCTTGCTTTGCTCTATCGAACAGTACCCATTACCCTTCGTTGGGTTGAGTCTGGTTGCTTTGTTAAAGCAAGCAAATAAAAAACGACATTTTTTTCTTGACAACCTAATAGAATATAGAGTTCATCAATGGTTGATGATACAGAAATCATCAACACTCCGGGCGAGCGAGAGGAAAGTGAGATCTGGTAAGATCCTAATTAGAGTGGCAGATACATGTGAAGTTGACTAGCGAATAAGTTAATACCTACGCATACAGAAGAATGAGCTATGAAGGAGGATTTGCAAGTAACTTGAACATACACGCAAGAGTACAATTATTAAAGTAAATTTATAAAAGCATCTGAAGTGATCGCTGGAGCTGGTGGGCGGTTTGGCGCTGCTTGTCGTCCTCGACATTTTCTCCTCTTCCACTTTGAATCGGTAGTTGCTTCGTTGACGACCATATCCTTGATAGACGGCGTTCTTACACGATGTATGTACACATGATGTCTTCTCTCCGGTGTGTTCGTCATCCTTATCTTGGCTTCATTGTTTGTGAACCGCTGCGGTAGCCATTCTATCCCATATCGGGGGCGGACATTGGAGTTCGTCGTGGAACGTATTGTGGCCAACCAACGTTGTCTGTCTGCTCGAGCTTCAGCGAGGATGGAAGCATTGACTGTTGACCTTGTAAAGGTGGATTGTCGGCTTTTGGATGAAGAACATGGTCGTAGCATCGCTCGTGACGGAATCGTTCTCCTTTGGATTGTTCCTTCATTTTGCTTTGGCAATAATGGCTTGTTGCATGTTCGAGTGTTCGCACTGTTGAAATGAGAGTACGCTTTGGGTTTCTTCAATCTCTCGTTGTGTTGTGGAGTTGGGCGGTTGTTCCTCAGTGTCTTCTTTAGCGCTGATATGCAGCCGAATGTGCCGATGAATCTTGATGTGGTGATAGTGCAGCTCGTCCCTGATATAACGAATCTGAAGATAGTTGGGGTCAGAATGAGCCCTGAAGGAAGCTTGCGCACTCTGTCGTTGTGGATAGTGACGAGATTTAGGAGATCTTGTCCTATGATCATGTCGGGAAACGCTTTTGCAGGAGAGCGTATCTTGAGCGATTATCAGCTTTTCATCAGAGATAAAACGCAAGTCTGCTTCCGTGAGACTTGCTGTCTGCATGTCGGTAGTCAGCTTCTGCTTAGTGTGTACTGACAAGTTCTTGAGCTTTTCGGAGCTGTGAAGACTTTTCAAGGTGATTTGTACTTCGGATGAGTTGAATTGCTCTTGTTGCTCGCCCATCCCAGATTTAGTAAACGAAGTAGTACGAAGGACTGGAAGCTTGAGTTCTTCACAAAGTCCTGATTTGATGAAACTTCGTTGTGCACCGGAGTCAAGTAGTATCGTTACTGGCTGGTAATCCCATTCTGCCTCGTTGAATATGGTTGCCGAAACAATTTGAAGAATGCATTGATCCTGTGCAAGTGGGAGCACTTCGGGATTGTAGACTTCTTGTCGTGAGCCTTGTACGACGTGCGTACAGTCTGCTCCAATCGGGATCAGGCCAAACCGTTGGCGTAAGTTTGCGCGCTCGCAGCGCTAGCGGTCTGCGCTGCATATGCGAGCTGTCGGAGAGAGCAAAAGGATTGAAGAGAGAGCAGAGAAGCAGGCCGTGGGCGTGACCGCGAAACTCTAGCGACGCGGAATCCCGCCATGCCATTTTTGGCCTGGTTAGGATTGGGGCAGACTGTAGTACTCTTCTCATGACGATCCTGACTGATGTCACGGGATGACCAAGGAGCAGGTGAATGTTGATCAAGTGCAGGATCTCGGTATTGTGTCGAGAATCCTCTGCGTTTTCCTGCTTCTGACAAATAAAGAGATCCATGGTGTGATCCTTTGCATTTGGGGCACACTCCAGTATTCGGGCAGTCTTTGGAATTGTGATTCTTAGCAAAACACCTCCAGCACACCCTTTGATTTCTCGCTTCGAGGCGTCGAGCTTCCGGTGTGGTATATTTCTGACAGGTGTAAGGGGAATGTGGTTGTCCACATAAGCACAAGCGTCTTGGTTTCGAGAACTGTCTTTCCTCTTCCCATCTTGCTCTGTTGTTCCTTTCATTTTGATGAGTGTCCTGGCGATGGCTGGTTGGGAAAAGGGTCTCAGTTGTGAGCGAAGTCGTTTCACGTAGTGAAATTATGCTGTCGATAGCTTCCAGGATTTCACTAACATCGAAGGAATCATCTTGTATTGCTTCTTTTTGGATGGCGGTTGTACAGATGGAT